AAGCTCCAAGCAGGCAAGAGGGGGCTCCCTGCCTTCTGGTGCCCCCACGGTTACAGCTCTTTGGAAGTTAAGTGGCTGCCTGGTACTTTAGCACATGTAGGAATCTCCTCCTCATCCCACAGGAAACTCTCTCATTAGTCTGCAAAAGGGCTTCCTTTTGAAACTGCCCCCACCTCTTTCCTCTCTGAAATCCTGTATCCTGGAGCCAGACAAGGCTCGATTTGGGCCCCATGGGGCCTGTCTTTATACTTTGGCAGGCCTTCTTTAAGGAAAAGACTACAAAATTACAAATATAAAGCTAGTAGGGTCAGGGCCTATACAAATACAGGTCTCCAGCGGAAGCTAGCTTCCAGTAAACACACTCCTGGAGCCAGACTATCTCCGAAGGAAATTGGATGTTTGCCTGGTGAGGGTGAAATGGTGGACTGTCCTGTGCTTTTTTTCCCCGTTGGATGAGGAGGAAGCTCCAGAACACTGTTTCTGCTTAAAAACTTTGCCTTCGAGCTTGATACTGGAAGACATTCTCCAACTTCCTCTGCGGAAGCCATTTTATCCTGCGATACTCTTGCTGCATCGCATGGCCACTCACTCGCTGCTTGGTACAGAGTACAGCCGTTACGCCTGTAACCAATGCCTGCCCCACTGGTCCAAGGGAGAATCTTCTCTAACCCTTCAGTCTAACTTCAGAATCACTGTGGATAAGAAGGGACCCCTAGTGGTCAAAGGTCACATCACAGCTGCCGTCTACCAGTTCCCTGGAAGGTGTTCTGGCCTGTCGTCTCTAAGGTTGTCAATTCCAAGAGGCAGTGGAAGGAAAATGCAGGATAGATGAGAGGAATTTTTGGTTTTAATATAGGTGTGCTGTGAAAGGTAGGATGGCTTCTGCTGTGTGATGTGTAGAGGGTGTAGTGGATATTTCTCTGTGTACTTGCAGAGAAGATGACCCATCTCCTGATAGGACTGGGCCCAGTGTGGTGACAGGAAATGAAGGGATATATGGGAAGCAGAAAGGTGAGCTCAGTCCAAAGTAGTAATTGTTCTGTATTTTGAAGGCAGAGCATAATACTATGAAAGAGTGGATTTTAATCTTTTAAAAAAAAAATCATGACTCCTTTGGAAAGCTAATAAAAAGATCAGAGACCGCTCCCCCTCCCACCAGAAAGATACTCATGGCACTTGAACACACACCCACACACACATTTTTACCTACAATTCAGACGTTTCCCTAATACTCTAAAGCCCATCCATAGTGGTATAAGAAGCTAAGTTAAGAAACTCTGAAATAAGGCATTTGGAAAAGAATGCAGTGTGGCAGCCCAGAACCCTGAACGGATTCTAATGCTTACATCACTTTGGGCAAGTCCCTTTACCTCTCTGAACTTCACTTCCTCATCTATTAGGAAAAGGGGAAGTTAGACAGATGTAGGATTTCCAGATAAAAAACAGGACACCTATTTAAATCTGAATTTCATATGCAGATTTTTCTTTTTTGTGTAAGTGTATCCCAAATTGGCTTTGTCATGAATTAACAGATATTAGTTACATAAAACATGCTTATACTAAGAAAAGCATCCACTGTTCATCTGAAATTCAAATTTAACAGGGCATCCTGTATTTTTATTTGTTAAATCTGGCAACCCTAGACAGGTGACCTTTTGGGTCTTGATTTAAGGTCTAAGATTTTTGGTGATGAAGGAATCCAAATGGAGGATAGGAAGTTGGAGAATCGTTAATCAGTGTTTAAGCTGGAAATTCTGAAGCCATGTGACCAATTTTATGCAGTTTAGTGGACACTGTGTTGGATTGTCAATGGAACAGTTACCACACTGGGTCCTCGCATTGCTCCAGGAACTACCCTACGTAGCTAGGCTGTGTCTGCCGGGTTTCTAGCTTTTCTGTCACTTCAAAACCATCAAGGGCATTCCCAGTGACCTGGCCAGATGACCTGCTGGCCTACAACCCTCCAGCCACTTGCTGAGCTGCTGTCTCTGTCACGTCAAGCTTGATGACAGCAGATGTGAGGTCTGCAGCTGCAAACCCCTTGGAGATGGCACTGGTCCTCTGTCTGCTGTGCTGCCCCGCAGGCCTTTCCTACATTCTGGTGGCTCGTTTCCCTCTCCTGGTCTTCATTCCTGTACAACAGGAAGAACTGTGAGGCCTGTGCCCCAGCGAGTCAGCCTCTCACAGCCAGCCCTGTGTACACCTTCTCTTCCTGGGCAGAGCACCCAACATGCAACTATAACATATCTCCCAGTAGGTATCCTCTTCATCTTGCGCCCTTCCTTCCTTCTGTTGATGTTTCTTGAGTTCCCATCAGGCCCTAGGCATTTGCCCTTAGCTGAGGGGCTTCTACCTTCACCCACATCAATGCTCCATCCCGTACCTAGTCCATGGTTCTCCTAGTGAGATTCCTGAGTCACTGGGTCAATCACCCTTTAGGTTGTCAAGATGAGACTTTTGTGTCTCATCAGAACTAATGAAGGAGAGGTGCCTGGAGACTCCCCAGGTGCTATGCTCACTGAAATCAGATGGTCATGGCTGCTAGTTCTTGGACCCCTTCCTTTGTCTAGAAGTGCATGGGCCTGACGTGGAGCAGACTGTTTTCTACTCCCAAGAATTTTCAGTTCAAGGCTGCCTCTTGACCTGACTACTTGTGGGAGATGTGAAGTATAGGACTCTGTTAATACACCTAAGCTTAATGATTAACTACTAGGCTTAAATACTTATGACGCAATGGTTGCCTCTGTCTGTCGGTTTTAGGAAAAGAGGAATGTTCCATCGATGACTCATACAACCTTGGACAAATCCCGTCACTCCTCTGACTATCCAGTAGGGGCACCATGATACCATTTTTAAAATCTGAACTTAGCGACCTGGCTCCTAAACATCATTAACTTTCCCCTTGGGAATGAATGTAAGACCCTTGAAGACAAGGAGCTTTGTTTTCCTCATTTTTGTATTTCCTAGGATACTCACTTAATGTTGTGGAATTCAGGGAGCACCATTCATCTTGTAGATAATAGATCTGTGTAGTTATTAAAACAATTTTCTACAGATGGCAATAGAGTGACTTAAGAAGCCAAGTCTTCTACTTATTCATGATAAAGATACCACATTGGCTTGGATGCCACCAGCATCCCCATTGCATAGAGCAATCAATAAATATCAATAATATCAGCTGAATCAATAAATATCAGCTGAATACTTTTCTCCAACATTTCAGTTATGAAAATGTCAAATGTCAAATGAAAATGGCAAATTTTGAAAGAATTACTTTCTAATTCTACCTAGAGTCCAGATGCAGTGTTAACATTTTGCTATACTTGCTTTGTGTGTTTATTTAGTTTAGCTGAATCACTGAAAATTAACTGCAATCATCAAGACACTTAACCCATAGATATTTCAGCAGGCATCTCCTAAGAATAAGGACAGACTCCTACATAACTACGATACTGCTGTTACACCTAATAATAATTAATCATTATTTCCTAATATCATTTAATATCCAGTTGTAGAAGTTGATGTTGGTGCCCCATCCACATCCCTCTGGCCTGCAAACAGTTCCCTGGGAGCAGATGACTTCCTGAGTATCTGCCTGAACACTCCTATTCCTGGCCAGACCAAGAGAGAGCCCTTCTCCCTTGCAGGGCTAGCAGGAGGTGCTGGGGAGTCAACACCCCATGAGTGTCCCTGAACCAATGATGAGAGAAGTTGTAGATAAATACCCAAGCTTCCTTGCCCATCATGAGTTGCTTGAGCCGTGTTCCACAGAGCTTGTCAAAGGGTCCACAGTAACAGCGACACTCAGCAGGAACCTGTTCATTAACACATCCTTTATCAGCTTTCCTTTCTTACTCTGCTTCCTGAGATCACCTTTAAATGAACTACTTGAAGCCAAAGCTTTGTCTGCTTTGGAGGGACCTAGAACTAAGATATCAACTCATTGCTAAATTCATTTAAAAATGGTAATGGAAAAACACACTGCTCTTAGGTGCATAGAGAAGCAAACTCAAAAACCTGCTTAGATGGTGCTTGCAACCTAGCAACAGGAATGGCTCTTAATTATGATTATTACTGGAACAGTGCTACAGTGAGGCTGTGTTTATTATGCCCTGCCCAGCCTATGTTAATAATGAGAATAGCTACTGCTTATTAGGAGCATACTATGTGGATGCTTCACATGCTTTGTTTCATTTACTCCTCACAGTAACTTTGTAGGGAGGGCACTATTATTGTTCCCATTGATGAAGTACCTGAGGTTCACAGAGGTTAAATGACTTTTTAGTGTCACACAGCTAGCAAAAGGCAGATATCTGGGGTGCTTAAAAGGTACAAATAACCATAAATATTTCTTTATTCTATTCTTGTATAAGCATGAACAATAGCAATTGCCAGATAAAACACACATTGTAACAATACCGTAAACATATATGCTTTTTAACCAGTAAAAAAAATGTCATCCTCAATTGCTAAGTCTTGAAAGTGTAATGCAGGGATTTCCCCCAAACAGGTGAGAATCTCAAAGGATAAAACTTCCCCCTGCCATGCCTGGCTTGGTAAAGCTTAAACACTGGGCTTGGGTTACCAGGGCCAAGTAATATTTTTCCAGCATTACTTTAGCTGTGTGGGCTCTTCCAAAGTTTTGGCTGCTGTGAGAATCAAACCTCCTTGCAGACCTGCCCCATCACAGTTCTCGGGCTGTCAGATTATCAAAGCGTGATCATCTAATCTGAGCCTGACAATGTTCAGTGAAATGTGCAGCAAATATTTGCACAATGCTAGGCTTTCTTAGATCTTTTACATTCCTGTTAGTAATATTTGGTCCCACCTAGTAACTCAGGTACATACATATAAAACCTTGATCTTAGACCTTAAGATGTCCTTCCCAATTACTGTCTTCTCCAAGAATCCTATAAAGAGAAACAGACTTTGAACCCAGTTTATCTTATTTACTTGACCCTGCTGTCATAAAGTGTTCAAATTCAAGTACTATAAAGGGAAAAGACTCAGGGTTCCCTGAATGGAGGAATAATTGTCTAAAGAAGTCAGCTTTTCAGACCTGAGCAGGTAAGGGATAAAACTTTGTCTTGTATAGAAATTAGAGAGTCATGAAAATTAAAAGCAAGTCAAGTGAAGGAAATTCATTTTGAAAAGGTGCTGATAGGAGGGGTAAAAGGGAAGAGGAGACATCAAGCTTTAATAGGGGAGGATGAGCTCTGCCAAGAATCCAGTACTCTCAGTTTTTATGGAGCTCTTACAGTAGACAGTGCATGAGAAATCTTTATTAATGACCAGATTTTGAAAGCTGAGCTGTTACCATGCCACGATAGGAATCTTTCTGGCAAAATTTTTAAATTACAAAATAATCACTATTACTACCAGTTTCATCTAACTGAAAGATAGACGCAACCAGAAAGTTAGCCCAGTAGGAACAAAACTTGCTTCTGTCAGGACAGGTCTGGGCCAAGGAGGAGCAGAGCCAGCCCAGAGGAGTTGTAGGTATGTTCCAGTTCCTGATTAATATTCGTGTCAAGTGGACAAAACTCCAACATGCTGAAATCTGTGAAGTGGCCAGGTATCAGAAAGGATTAACTGCAGCTTCTAAATGGAAGGGAATGTTAACCTGGGCAGTAGGGTGGCTAAGAGCATGGCCTTGGGAGTCCTGGATTCAAATCCTAGCCCTGACATTTACTGCCTTTGGGATCCTGGGAAAATTATATCATCTTTCTAAACCTTTGAAAACAACCTCAGCAGGGTTGTTAGGGTCTTAATTGAGATTTAAATTATGCATGACAAGTGTTTAGTACAGTGCCCGTCGTGCAGAAAGCATTCCATATGTGTTTCTACTATATTCATAGAGGTACTCTTAAAGGGAAGTAATAAATACATGTTTTTCTTTGATGGAAGTGGAATATACCTACGGGGAAAGGATGGTAGCCGCGAAAGTATAGAAGGAGGAAGAATGGAGGCCTTTATTATCATTTCTAGCCCATATTGGGTCAGAGGAAGGATTATTACTAGGGGAGAGTTTTGGAAGGATGGGGGAAAACAAAGAGATCAACATGGTTTAAGGAGAGAGGTTATGTTGTGATTGAGTATTTTCTATGCTACAACCATTTGAATCTCTGGGATTTGAAACAGTCTCAAAAACTCTCTATTAGCAGAGAGCAACTTTACAACAATGACCAAGACTTTAAAAACTACAGTTCGTTTGTTCAGTAGGGACCGTATGATAATGAAGTAGTTTTTCTCTTTCTGTTAAAATGACATTCTGTCAATTACTCTAGGGAAGACTGGTCTTACCATCGGCCCCCGCCCCCGCCCCCTCCCCAGGCCGCTTTATGGCTGTCCTATAACTAACTTAGAGCCTATTTCTGTGTGGTTTCTTTTTGTTACCTTAAAAAAAATTCCTTAATACTAACCGTACTTTGAACTGAGCAATCAGAACAGGATTGTTTAATTAAAAACTAGAAATTGTACTGTTGCAAATGAGCTGGGATGACTCATCTGGGACTTTGTTTTAAATGCATTGTAGACAAGAGGAAGGTTCATAAACTCAGTACAGACCAAAGTACAGAAGCAACTGCACTCTTTACGCCAGCAGATCCTTTAATTCATTAAGGATGGCATGGAAGAGCAGTGGCCTAATGAAAATGTGCAGATACCTTCCCTTGGTGATTTTATTTCTGCCATGTGAGCTGACATGTAAGTTAATATTCTTTTTAGCCTCTTTTTAAATAAAGAAACATTTCAGATTAACAAATGATCTGTGGGCATTGGGAAAATCCACAATCCAAAATAGGAATGACTACACAGTTGGCATGGCTCAGAGTACAGGAAGACAGATAATATAATAATAAATGGCAAAATGTTTTTTTGGTTCTGATATTACAACGCAGAGTGGAGTATTCAAGTCTCTCCAGGGTCGTAATTTTCCTACATTTTAATGCATTTCATCACTAATCATCCAAAATAATCATCTGCTTTTTATTTGCATATAACACTTGCACGAAAATCTTTCCTGCATTTCCCACCCCAACCTGGAAATAGCTTTCCCCACTGCTGACTTTAAAAGTAATATAGAGTAATTGTAAAAAAATTAGGAAATATATAAAAGAATAATGAAAAGTAAAAATTCCCCTAAATCTCATCATCCAGAAATAATCACTCAAGGTTTTGGTGAACTCTTCCAGATTAAAAAAATGTATCTATTAGGCAATAATGTCATTTTCACCAGTAATTTATGCTTTCTACAGAGAAAGTTAATGTGTTTACAGCCTATATTAACAAATGTTATGCAGGGGGCAAGTCTGTGGTGGCTAAAGCCAATTTTTAGCTTTTGTTACTTGCTTCTGAACCAGGAAAGCAAAAACTGAAATTCAGGTATGTTACTATACATACCTGAATGGATTTCTAAAAATAAGAGATGAATATAAACTGCTATATATCCTGATGATCACCCCACAGCAACTTGTCTATCCCCCAAACCACAGCTGTTTAAACATCTCTTTATTTTACTACACTGCCAAAACAATATTGAAACATCAGCATTGGAGATCAAATTTGCCCACAACCCTATCATCTAATCAGAAATGTTTTCAAACATGCTTCTATCCATATGCACAATTTTGATATATTTGTAGTAATTATTAGAATGTAATTTGCATTCATCTTAAAAATTCTTCCATTTTTCTGTAGTCCTTTTTCATTTTTTTTCCTTTCCCACCCCCTTACTTTGCTACTTTCAAGGTCTTGACATAAACACTTTAGGTCTGGTAAGTATTTCTCCAGTTTTTTTCTCTATTGTTATCACTCCTATTCAATATGTATATATAGATAGGATGTCCTCCAGGACTTTCTCTCATAAGTATGTGTTTTGTGTGTATGTGTGTGTGTGTGTGTGTATAAATGGGATAATTCTGTACACACTAATTTTTTAACCTAGTAGTTCTCAAACTTGACTGCACATTGGAATTACCTGGGGGCTTAAAAAAACTCAATGCCCAGGTTTCACTCATATCAATAAATCAGAATATCTGGCAGCAGTAACCAGAAATCCGTACATTTTTAAAGATGCCAGGTGACTCCAGTGTGCAGGAAAATTTGGTAATCATCATTTTAACCTTTTCCTTTTTTTAGTTTATAATACATTATGGCTCTTTTTCCTTGTAAAATCATATAGATATGATTATTTTCAATTATTACCAAGTATTTCATTGTGTTGATGTAATATAATTTACTTAATCAATCCCCTGTTTATGGCCACTTATATCATTCACTCTGTCCTAATAGTTTCTTCCTGCATTCCCAGGTTCTGTTTTAACTGTGAATGGTAAAACTGAGAACTATATTCTGGACACTCACCTTGGTGTCCAAGAATCTCTGAAATGTGCGGTTCAAAACCACACCAGAGAAGAAGAACTTCTCTGGTACCGAGAAGAGGGGAGAGTGAATTTGAAATCTGAAAACAAAATCAACTCCAGCTCTGTCTGTGTCTCCTCCATCAGTGAAAATGACAATGGCGTCACCTTTACCTGCAAGCTGCAGAGGGATCAGTCTGTGTCCATCTCAGTGGCGCTGAATGTCATTTGTGAGTGATGGGCAAGAAGCTTTTAGCCAGTCTCTACTGCCTGCATTACATTATGTGGTAGTTGAAATCTGGGTCTAAAATATATGTGCATTTTAACATGTGCTAGATATTGCCAAATTGCCCTATTTATGCTCCCACAACAACATGTGAGAGTGACTACTAGCCACCCCCTCATGAGCATTAAGTATCTTCCAGCTCTAAGAATTTGCCAGCCTGATTTGGAATCCTACTTTCATTTTCTAAATGAAGCATGAGGGTATTCACCTTTTCATGAGTGTATTAGCTGTTCACAAATGGATTGGCTATGTATCACAGCCAAATGCCTGCTCATGTCCTTTGCCTGTTTTTCTATTGGGTATTTGCCTCTTTCTTATTGATTTGTGTAAGGGCTCTGTATATTAGGCAAATTAACCTTTTGTCATTTTGGATTGTAAGTTTTTCTTCTATTTATTTTTGATTATTTATTTATTCATTTTTAGTTCTTTTTTCTGGGCCATATTGAACATTTAAGTGTTTATGTATTTAAAATTAGCAATCTTTTCCTTTGTGGTTTTCTGGCTTTTGTGTTCCACTTTAGAAAGACATTCATTGAGAGTATTTTAACATCACCTTAAAACCTCAAATGGTGAAGCTCTTCCATGGTTGGGTTTCATGTATCGGTAACCCACTGGTGGAACTATGTGGGCTTAGGGGTCCTTCAAATGATTCTGTATAGGTGATCACACAGGCAGTTTGGGTGGAAAGCTGATTCTACATGAAGGAGGTGCAGATGGTATGGTGAGCATCAGTGTGCGATTGGGTGGTGATGTGGTGTGATTTGGCAGAAAGAACTCTGGACTAGGCACCTAATAATAGAGAGTCAAAGCCATTTGACCCCATAAACTCAGCACAGTTTTCTGTGAAAAACTGATGCCTTTGCTCCTAAGATAAAAGGGTGGGAAAATGCTGAGGAATCCTGTTCTGGGAAATAGGGGCACCCTGCAACTTGAGTACCCAGAGTAAATCATGTGCATGCTCCAGAACAAAGGAGCTTTATTTTTTATTTTCCACGAATTGATAACATGTGATTAGCAAGCTATCTGTTGTCTGTTTGGATAGAATCCAAGATTATCATGAGACCTTGGAGGTCTGGAAATCCTTATAAAATGACATGAGGAAACTGAGGCCCAGACCCAGGGCCCAGATTATCACAGCTGGAACTGAGAACAGAACACAAATCCCAAGGCTCCTAATCTAATGCTTTTCCCATTGTACCTTCTTAAGGGAGGCATGGCAGAAATGCTGATAACATGATTTAGTGTCTTAAAGAAATAATTTTCAGTTTTCTAACCTGAATCCATATTTAAAATCATCTTTATAACAACCTCCTTAATGTCATTGTCGCTGGGCACATAAATGAAAAAACCATTGCTCAGTGATTCATGATGACATGAAGTTATCAATAAATCAAAATGAGCTCATAAAAAGTGACACAAATATGTACAATCCTGAGGAAGTATTATTACTGTTATAAATAGCACATTGAGAACTACATGGAAGCTAAACAATACATGATTTGGAGGAGGGTGTGCAAAAAGAAACAAGCTCTTTCATACCTTGTTGCGGAAAGTATAAATTGAAACTACCTCTTTTGCAGTATCTGTCAAAATTTAAAGTGTGTTTACCCTGTGACCCAGCCCTTCTACTTCTAGATGTTAACCTTGGAGAAACATATACGCGTGTGCACATGAAGAGACATATACAAGGATGCTTACTGAAGCACTGTTTTACATTTTAAAAATGAAAATAATTTAATGTCCATCAAAATAAAATTAAATAGTCATATATTATACCTTAGCATTCTAAAAACAATGAGACCTCTCTGAATATATTCAACGTGGATATATCTATAAAACATGCAAGTTATTGAGAGAATGAAGTCTTTTACGTAAACCCATTTCACCCTCCTAAAATAATACATTTCCAATAGGTACATCATATGTATATCAAATGCCATTTTAAAGAAAAAGATCTGCAAGGATTTACATCGAACACATAGCAGTGGGTATCTTTGGGGAGTGAGGAAGTGACCAGGAGAGAGTCAAACAGAATCTTAACTTTTCTGAAATGTACTAATTTTTCAAAAAGGAAATACTGAAGTATAGCTGGTATGCTTTAAAATTAATTTCAATAAATAAAAAGGAACAACTAATAGAACTTGTCCACAAATGTAATTGGTATATAATTAAGTTCTTTCTTGTAGCAGCTTCCTACATATCTGAATACCATATAACATCCTTGTTGGATATGGATACAGAATTCAAGCTCATTCCAAAGAGCAACAAAATGTCATTCTTCTGAGAGAGTTATTAATAGCACAGCCTACTCAGGGTCTAATTATTCAGTGTGCAGATTATACAAGCTCCTTTTTTCTTCCTCCTCTGCCTCTTTCTCTTTCCTACTGCCTATTTTTCAAGCCTTTTATTACTCTTCTGCACCTTGGCTAGAAAATGCAAGGGACATGGAGAAGAGTGGAGAGTCAGCTCAGCCATTATTCCCCCTAGATATTAGAAAGTCCTGGTTGGGTGAGGGTTGGATTATTTGGTGAAGATAAATGTGTTTGACTATCTATGGGTCTGCAACTGTCCTTATCGTGGAGGAGTAAGGAGCTGCTCCCACAGAGGCATGAGAGAAACTCAGAAGGTCACACTCACCTTCCACAGATGCCAGAGTTGCCATGATTGGAACACTTCATAGGAGGAGGGCATTATTTCTAGAGAATCATGGAGGAAATGCAATGATGCATTGGTAAATACGTGGCCAGGGCCTATGTGGTTAAATAAAATGCAAAAACAAAAAGTGTGAGGAGAGCTAAAAACCACCACCACCACCATGGCAATAATAGCAACTAGCACTGTGGTTAATTCTTTATAGGCATCATCTCATTCAATCTTCATAGCAACTGATGAGGTAGGCATTATGCCACTTTTTAGATGAGGAAACTGAGCAGTTACTAAGCAGTTAAGTAACTTTCTCAAGGTCACAGTAAACGGTGTAGATGGCATTAAGGATAACTGGAATGTTCTTCTTAATAGTATACTGTTTTATCCAACATTAGCACTGATTGGTTTATTAACTCTCAGAGAGCAAAGGCTGAAGGTTTATACTCTTGTGTAGCATTACAAATTGTCTGCTTGGTACAGATTCATTATCATCTATTGTTGTTTCATGGTTTGTCTTCTCCACCACATTTAAAGTTCTATGAGGTTTGGAACTGGATAACACTCTTTGCCACTGTATCCCCAGTTCCTAGCCCAGTGCTTGGCATATGGCAGGTACTCAACAAAGTTTTGTTAAATGAATGAATGACCGCATGAGACAGATTGAAAGAAGATCTTGAACACTGACAGTAAACTACTGCTTATCTGCTAATTATACCTAAATGCTTGAGTCCTGCAGTTCCTCCTCTCCTAAGTGGAGATGACTTCCAAACAGTTGAAGAAGACAGTGATGTGAAGTTGGTTTGCAATGTGAAATCCAACCCCCAGGCTCAAATGATGTGGCACAGGAACAGTAGCATCCTGAATTTAGAGAAAAACCATCATATAGTCCAACAAACAAGTGAGTCTCTCCAACTGTCAATCACCAAAGTCAAGAAATCTGACAATGGAACCTACAGCTGCATTGCAAATTCATCTGTGAAAATGGAGACCATGGACTTTCACCTCATTGTCAAAGGTGACTCTCTTTTTAACATCCAGCACAGTGCAAAACCCAGGAGAGAAGCTCAGTAAATATTTTTATTAATAGCTAGGATTTTCTTGAGCAAATCCCCATCCAAAGAGTTTCCCACTAAGAATTCTAGTTTTGCCTTTTAGGGGAGTTACGCCCATTCCATATAGGATACTATTTTTTGCGCACAGGTCCTTTTCTAGAACCAAGTGGTAGAAGACAATTCCGGCTGGTTTTTAGGGAGGAGTATTTCCATGAATTCTCCTGGGCAACAAGGTTTGTAGGAACTGGACGTTTGAGTTCACAGCCTAATGACAAACAGAAGAGGTCATAAACACATAGAGATAAAAGATACTGATGAGATAAGAAAATAGATCTCTAAGATCAACCACTCCTAACTGTGAATTTGTAACCTATAGGTTAATCAGAAGGGGGAGTAGAGGGAAATGAGGGAAAAAGTTCTTTCTCTTGGCTGCATGCTTCACCTACCCAGGTTTATCACCTCTGAAATAACAGGGAACAATGAAGCTCCAAGTGTTTTTCCCTCCTCATACTCCTCATTCACACAAAAAGAGAAGGGCAAGGTACTTAGTGTAGCAGATGCAGAAAATGCTCACGCACACAACTTCCTGAGGCTGGCATGCTAGGAGCAGCCAGACAGGCTGAGGCTCCTCTACCTTGTTAGAACATTATTCACTTTGTCATTTGCCTCCCTCTGCCCACTCATTGACTTTCTCATCAGTTCCCAGGAAGCCAACTGGACCCCTGCCAGAAGTGTTGAAACTGAGTGACCATAGGGCTTCTTATTTCCTCTCCCTCGGGGCATCTGAAACACCAACAGAGAGGCTGGTGGGGAGGAGAAACTGCTGCAAGTTGAATGCCCATCAACAGATAAAGAGCTGGTGTGTTCAGTGATTTGTCCTGCAGAGCAGTGACATTATGCACACGGGCTTCTTTGAAAGTCAAACCCACAAACAACCTAAGTACTCACAGGAGAGAAGCATTGGAGAGGGTACAATACTGAAGCTGGGGGCTGCTCACCTACCCCAGGACCACAAAGACATGTCTGGTGTGGCCTCATGCCGTGCCATTCTAACTGGCTATTGAGACCACAGGCAGAGTTGAGAGAATTTTGTCATCCCTCCTGGTTTAAGGAGTCATAATTGCTCTGTCACAAAAAAAAAAAAAAAAACAGTTCGTGTGGCAAGCAGGATGCCAGCTTGGCAAACTGGCTTTCAGGTGGGCAGAATCCTGTTTTGGGTGGAACTTTTCCAAACCAACTTGTTTTTCTTATTTCTTCCTGCTTTATTAATCCTCCCTGGCCTTTGGCTGCCTTTACAGAGTGAGCTCTCCTGTGCTGGTGCCCCAGGCTAAATGCTGTTGGCCACCGTCTGCTCCCACTTCATGACACAGTGGGGTAGCTTCTAAATGAGGCCATGCGAAGCTGGAAATGACATCATGGATCTTTTCTTGGACACAGGATTTTAGTCCATGTGTTGGGATTATCTTACAATAATGAATATGGTGGAAGGGAAAATACCAGACCTTGTTACAAATAAGAGATAAAACAAGAAAGGGGAGAAGTGCAGTAACATCTGCCAAAGTCACTTTCAGCAGAAATGTGGAATCCAGCAGCAAGCCACTGACTGGGTCAGACAGTTTCTTTCAGCTTGCTTATGGAGTGAAAGCTGTCACATGTGGCTCCACTTTCTTCAGCTTGGTAAAAATACTCTGATCCATGACTGAATTCTGATTTCTTTGCCTAATTGTCCCACTTTTGCTTCCCCTTAATTCTCACATCTTTCCTTGGCACTGCAAGTAGAGCACCACCCACACACCCCTCACCACCCCCAGTAAGGTGAAAACCTTTGGTGTGACCCCGGGCTGGCTAATACAGAGCCAGGGCTCACAAGAAGGTCCAGTGAGTAGAGTTTCTGCAGACGGTTGGTGCAGCCCATAACCTTATGAGAATGAATTTTAGCAACAGCCAAAAGAGAGAAAGAGTAAAGGATACTTAATCTTCCTACTCCCCAGTATTATCCTGAGAAGGAATCGGGCAAATTATGGTAAAGAAAACAATTAAAAAGTAAGTGGTTAGTGTGTCATACAATTACGGAGGGATAAACCCTATTTCATAATCTTGAAGCATATAGGGCTTAGGCTTTGAAACTATATTTTAACTGAAGTCTTGTTTTCCCATCCTCCTCACCTTCCACCCCGCATACACTGTCTCATGACCCTGTGTCCTTTATAATATTTATCTCAATCTCTAGGTTTTGTTTGTTTAATGTCTGTCTCCTCCACTAGAATATGAGCTCCACAGAGGCAGGAGCCTTCCATGCCTGTCTTATTTTTTGCAGGGTTGAGCACACCATATAAAACAAAGTAGTCATTCAGTAAAAATTTACAGACCACACTCATTCCACAAACTCATTTGTACAATAAATAGCACACTCTTTATTTCCTATGAAGTCCTAAAATTTTATCTTAGCCACGACTGGAGCTCCTTCCTCTCCTGGTGGCATCAGAATCCAGGGGCTTAGAGAGGGTCATTTAAATATCTTTGTTGACCTTAAGCATTCTTATTTTTGAAAGTTTCATTCCCTATCATGCCAAACATATTAAGATGAAGCAACTTAAGTAACTTTTTTTGCTGTAAAAATTTTGAAGGGATTTTTATAACTTGCATGCATTTTGAATTTTATTAGAAATAAGTTATTCATTTGTTTCTTAAGGCTTAAACATTATTTTTATTACCATTAATGTTATTTAACAGTTGGATTAAAGTTGACACTAAGTTACATTTTATAGATGTTTAAACATTTATTAATTTTGATTAATTTTGCCACTTTATTTTCATATTTTGGAGCCAATTTTTTTTTCAGGTCTCAACTATTTTTCAGAGGCTCTTGGAAAGTTTGCAAGTACAGACACTGTGGCCGTGGTGCCTGATGAACAAAATAGCTCAGAGCTTACCTGGTGTTCAGAGAACAAGGGAATGGGCTTTCATTTCCAAGCTGTCATGATTGTTGCTGGTCTTTTCCTAGTCGAGGTTAGAAGTAGACTCTTTGTTGTTCTGTGTCATTTAGAGAGGTGTGAAAACCTTGGCCGAGGTTGGAAAGGCTGGTCTTAGAGTCCTACTTCTCTAGGGGCACCACGCAGCCACTGTTCAGTGTCACCTCTCTCACACACAGACCTCTCTTCCCCTTCGTCCAGCAGGCTCCTCACTTTTCTCTTCTTGCTCTTAAAGCCTTCTTTTTTCTTTTCCCTCAGAGATACCACCCAGTATTTTTTTGGGCTTTCCAAAAGGCAGGAAAAAACCATTGACTTCTGCCTGCTTCTGCTTTCTGCAGGCAAAATTATGGCTCAAGAAAGCACCAAAGGATCTGACTACCAGCTTTGGGGGATTTATTCATATTACAATCAATTATTCTTCCACAGAGGGATGGATTAAAAACCTGTCTCTGCTAGTTTCTAGTTCTGTGACTTCGGACAAGTAAACCCATCTCCTAAAGCCTCTGGTTTCACATCTATAAAGTTGGGGTAATAATACCTACCTTTTATGGATGTTCAGAGGATTTCATTAAGAAGGTGATACATGTTAAGGGCAAGGCACCAAGGCTGAGACATATTAGAGGTACACAGATCAGAAGCATATACATGTTAGTTTTTATTCCCTGTGTTTGCATTTCCAACAGATAAAGTTGTGGCTGTGCCGGTAGAGCCCATTGCTGCTGCATGTGTCGTGGTATTTCTGACATTGTGCTTTGCACTGATTGCTAGAAGAAAAAGAATAATGAAGGTATCTAAGTATTATAAGTTCTTTAGGTAAAAAGTCATCTAAATAAGGGTAGAGAGCTGGCTACATAGGTGACTGCAGAGTTATCATACTCAAGACTATCTGGTCTCTCTACCATGGGAACCTAAATGGAAGTTGCTCAAGGGAATAAAAATTGTATGTATATTATGAGTGGGGCTTTACAAAGAATGGAAGTGCAAATGGATAAGACCTACATGAAAACAGCTGTGGGGTTATGAGTAGGGGATTCAGGACTGATTTTTCTTCCTTTTAGCTTTCCCTTTATTGTGGCTATAGTGCCTTTGGCACAATAAATAGAGAAAGGAATCTGCTCTGGACTCAGAGAGCTGCATGAAAAAGGTGGCACTTGCTGCTCACCACACGCCCTGGCTATAGGAGGTCGGAGTTTGAATTGTTGAATGGTTAACCTTGTTGGTTAGCACATTGCAGAGGATGTGTGTGCATAGGTTAACGCCATCCACTTGACTCCACCAGTTAATCCAGTGCCAAAAGGAGGCAACTATGGCTGAGAGCCTCTGAGGAAAGGCCAGTGTGGCTGAGGCTGAGTTCACTACCCAGCAACAGGCACTCTCTTTAAAATATGGTAACAACGTGTTATTCGGGGCAACAACGTCTCCCATGAAGAGATGCAGGTAACCCTTGTTCCAATCCAAAGCAAATTTTTTTCTACAAAGAAAGAAATACTCAACTACTTAAGAATCCTAAAGCATTTTGATTCAAGAATGACATATTTTCTAGGTTCAATAAAAGTGATTAATGCCGTCAAAAAAATGAGACCCGGACCAGAGCAGAGCTGGCTGTATTTCCAGCCACCTCTTCATTGGTGTGTATTTTTCTAGGTAGGAGATTAACGAACATTTGAGTTTCCTGTCCCTTGAGATATCTTGATGCATTCGAAATGTTTATCCATGGGCCTTAGAAAAGCAGGCAAACTCATTTCCTTTGTATTTGCTTTTAGCTCTGCATTAAGGATGAAGAGCCTCAAAGAGAAACAGCTCTGTAAGTACTCTGGGCTGGGGCCAGTGATTTTTCAATAGCAGATGGGGTAGCCGTGGTGTGCATAACAAAGCCCATCCAAGCCAAACTCCTCCTGAGATGGGAGGTGGTGCTAAAAGGTGAAGGGGTTCAGAAGAGATGGAGGGTGGAGAAGAATCTGCCTCCACTTTAGAGGAAGGCATGTGAGGCTAGGTTGGAAGGTTGCCTAGAACTGAGAATACCTTTGGTCTTCAGCCTACTCTTTAAGCAGTTTTGGGCTAAGCTTGTGTGACTGCATTTTATTGCCATATAATGTAAATGACTAAGAGAGCCTACCCTGGGGGAAGCCACCACTGTATTGTCCTTTTCAACAAGGTCAAAAGTCACATTCCTCCTCCTAAGTACTGCCTGCTCTTGGCAGTTTCTTTAGTCTGTAGACTCCAGCATATGTGAAGTGGGCGATGGGTAAGAAGAACAAAGGCATTCTTTCCAAGAGTATGAATTTTTTTCCTATTGCTATGATCATCATTATAACTAATTTCTTGGTTCATTGCAGGTGAGAAAGCTGAGGTGCCATGGAATACGGCAAGAATTTCGCATCAGGACCTCCTTGATTTATGTAGTCCCATCTGTATTTATTGCTATTATTAAATTCACTCCTGTCAAATTGTCAGAGGTTATGAAGAAGTGTTTCATTAAGCACTTAACAATAGTTGTTATGACTAATTGGATATACTTGCAGAACATTTTTATGGAGAAAGCTGTTAAGAATGAAAAGCAAGATTTTAAGTCTTCTTCTTGAAAGGTATGTTATTTAAGGAGATTTTTTTCCAAAAAGTCTGGTAATCATTTCCCAATTAGTGTGTATTTTTCTAGGGAGGAGATTAACGGACATTTGGGCTTCACAAATCAGTGAAATACCAAATAAGAAAAATTGGGGGGTGGAGGAGGGTGCAACATACACTAATCAAGTTTTTAAGTTGCCAAGGAAGCACATAAATAATATCACTACCGACACTGTCATTTCATAAAAGAAATGTTTTAGGACTAAAAAAGGAAGGATATAGTCTCAGAATAGAAGACACTTCTTTAAATGGGATAAATTTAGTGTAATGAAAAACTCAACATTATGTCCTTATTTTTCTCATCTCATTATGGTTTGCACAGTCACAGACTTTGTGAGCTTTACGTGAGGAAGAAGCTGAAACAGCAGGGGACATGCGCTGGCCTGCATGTTTGTTTACATATATCCTTTGCTCTTTTTTGCATGGTCATTTGCATATTTCTGGCTATATTATGAGTCAGCCTGCACTCTTCTCATATACCTCAATATTAGAATACAGTTCTCTTATAATTTATTGTTGACTTTCTCCACTTTCATTCTTTATTCATTTTTTTTCCCCATAGAGTCTCTGCGTCACTTTTCCACACAACTTCGTGGGTTAGGGAAAGAGGCAGCCCTGGCCAGAACTGCCTTTGATATCTCTGCTGGGCTTCCCCTCTATCTTAGAAAAAAAATTTGCTTTTGTCTAAGACTGCAGTAGCTAAATGTGCCAAAGCAAGAGAAGAGATCTGCTGTCAGACAGCTGGTAAAAAGCCCCTTATTGACATAGAAGCAAAAAGAAGATATGAGCAGAATGTATGAATTCTCAGCAGTCTTGTTTCTAAGAGGAACAGACACACCCTCCTGTTAGCTTCTCGTTGCTTCCTTGGAAACTTCAGCATGGAATGGAGAGCGAGAGAGAGACCATTAGAAACTGTGGTTTACAGGCTTGTCCGCTCCTTGGAGGCCACAGCAGGTTTTTGTGGAAAAGCCATAGATCATTGTTTCTCAAAGTAGAATTTGGAAGCCCTGTGGAAATGCTGCAGATAGTAGGAGGATTGTAGGAATCTGAAAATTTATACAATTAAGTAAAAGCCTGGAGCCTATAAAGAAAGAACAGATCTCAGGCATTGGTGGGGTTGGGGTAGTTTAAAGTGAAAGAGGAAACAGAAAAACTTACATATCTAATAGGACTTGCAATTAGGAGACCTGAATTTCAATATTGGCTGTGTTACCTTGGGCAAGTCCCTTTCCCTCTTTGGACAAGGAGGATGCTGGATTAGGAGGAGAATTAGTATTAACTTTCACGTTAGCATGAAAATTCTGTTTTTTCCTCAGAGTCCCACGTGGTTTAGTTAGCTGCTGGAAGGAGTTGGCAAGAAAGACTGGAGAGGCAATACTTTTGCCCCACCTAGTAGAATTATGAATCAGCTTTGTTCTAGGACATACAATAATCCTTGAGTATTGCAGGTCATCACTAAAGAATTCCTTCACCTTTATAAAATACAGTGACCTTGTACATTAGTACAAAGAACATTAGTCTTAATACAGCATGGAAATACCATAAACAGGCATTGCATTTCATTTTGCCTTTTAGTTCTGAAAAAAAAAAACAGCCTGTATTAAAAACTATGGCTATTATTTAAAATCAGCAATTTAGCCTAGACTTGGAAAGACATGAAATTCCAGGACTCAAAAGAAGCTGCCATAACCTTTCCATAAATGTTTTCTCTACCTATTATGAGATAACTGAAATTCCAACATTCATTAGTCTAGCTTTGACCCTTGGGACTACAAATACCAGTAGAGAAGTGATATACAAAGCCAGTCCAGTGGCACCCTTCTCAACCTTTCTACCAATAAAGATGGCTTTTATCATTATTATTTTTCTCCTTCTTGTGCCCCATTTTTTGAAAGCTGGTCTATCAAGAAAACTGCATTTATTAAACAACAGTCATCTGTTTTCCCAATTTTTAAAACATTTATCTGTGATATCTATTTGCCAATCTGAGCTGCTTTTATGGCCACACAATTACCCATTTGATGTAATTCCATCTAAAAGCAAAGAAATCTGGTACTTTTGTTAACCTGTGCAGTCTTGTAGATGTTAACAATGTAATTGTTGCCATTAGGGTTTTTGAATACTTGAAAATAGTTTAGAAATCCCTTCTTCACCAACTTTATTCCTTTCATCACCACGATCATGACTACCTTCCTGAACCTATTGGCCAGAGGTCACAAGCTCAAATTCTTACAGAGGTCAAGCAGATGAATGAGTGAAGCAGGCTAGATGTAAACAGTAGGGAGTGGTAGGGACTGTGGTAAATAGAGAGCTCATCTACCTCTAAAAGAGAGGTAATAGTTTCTATCAAGGACAGATTTTCTGACTCTTGAGAGAATAACCTTTTATGTGTAATTCTCCTAGCTTGAAATTTTTTTCTTTTAATCCTGTATATCTAGGAGTAGAAGAATCTTCTCACCCCAATATATGCCAATATATTTGGTAAATTATGATCCAGTGTTGACTTGGGCTTTTATTATCTCTTGGAAATTTTTATGAAATAGTTCTTGTAATTTTCACTCATAGCTTCCTCTCCCCCAGAGCTCAAGCATGATTATGAGGAATTAAGTCAGGGGACAGTTAGTTATACTGTGCTGAGGATTTAACCTGCATTATTTGATCCTGTAAACAAACCCTATGAAGTAATCATAATTGTCCCAACAATGAAGACAATTGACAATGAGGACGTTTGGGTTCAGAATGCTTAACTAACTTATTGAGAGTGACTAAGCTAGGATTCATACCTGGCCGATCCAAAGCCTGGGGCCTGGAATAGGCAAGAGGATATTATAGAAGGGACAAATGTTGAATAATAAAGACAAACTTCACCTCTCTTATAATTTGCTAAGAGTGATAGCCAATCCTACTTCAAATGAGCTAGAGAATTTATTCTAGTAAGTAAAGGGGATTTAAAACAATCTGGTTGGAGAGCCTTTTGGAAATGTTACAACATTCCTTGAGATAATTGTTGCAGAATTGGAGATGAGAAACATTGCCCTAAATACTTGCTTGTCCTTCTCACAGTAATGATCACCAAGTATTACTCTTTGCCAAAGGATTTGCCAAAGGTGATTTCTTACTCAAACTCACACAACTAGTATGGGATAGAATTGGGATTCCAGCCCAGGGAAGTCTGATACCACAGTTCATGCTCCTAGCTCTACACTGCAGTGTCCTGGGGCCAGGGGATGGATGGGAATAAAGGTACTGGAATGTGACTGAAAGCATCTTACTGATTAGGGGCTTGGGGATTGCAGCAGAGATATTTATCACTCACTGCATATTCCATTGCTCTTCACATTTCTCTGACCCCTTGCCATTCAACGGTCCATGTGACTAGTTCTTGTCAAGGGGCTATTGATAGAATTAATGGTGTCACTTCTGGGCAAAGCAAAGGAGAATGAATGCACTTTCACAGGCTCTTTCTTCCTGTCACATGGCAACTGCAGAGATGTTAGACTTCTGTCACCCCCGGATTCTGAATAACTATGTGGAACAGAGCTATCTACTCACATGCCTTTGTGTTAAGCCACTAGACTGTAGGGTTAATTTATAACTGCAGCATAACTTAGCCCATACTGACTAATGCAGGTATTTTTGTTATAATAAGAACTCAGGAGAAAGTTTAATCTAGTTTAATGAAATAATGTTTAATTTCAGGAGCATCCCTCCAACCAGGAATCTGGAGTAACAATTGCCCCCATTGCTCCAACTAAAAATCTAGAGTCATATACAATGCTGAATAACCTGCAATAAAATTATGTTTTTCCCTTTGAAAAGACTTACACCCACTGACACATCTTTAGGACAGCAGGGCAAGTGAGAAAAAAAATCAATTTGTCTTACTTTATTAAAAAAATCCAAATTTTACTTAATCTCATGCCAGTTGCTATAGAAAACAAAACCTATACAATCACTACAAATTCCTTAACATTCAAGTATTTTTTCTCAAGGGCCTACCTCTGCAACACCAAGGTTGTTTTATAGCAAATGACTTACATCGTGGGTACTTTCACCTCCCTAATACTAGAAAACACGGAGTTCTCAGAGAATTGTGTGTAAGAGCAGATTGGGGATC